AATAAGTCTACCGACCACTTCATAAATCTACCACTACTACAAATAAGTCTACCAGTATTACGAATAAGTCTACCACATTATAAATCTACCACAACTATAAATAAGTCTATCATCGCGTACACCGTAATAAGTCTACCAGACGTTTAATAAGTCTACCGTAACAGAATGGTAGACTTATTTAATTTTGGCGGAAAAAAATTTCKGYTTCATTAATGGCAKTTTCRTAAATACRTTTTTTGTCTTCAAATGAAATAAKRTTAACAYAKGAATTAAAAWWTTTTCAARRTCATTCTAATAATATTCAAAGATAGAGGTCATTCTAGTCCAAATCTTTGCTTGACAAGGTCATTCTAGTAAACCTCCCTTAATAAAGATGACACAATTAGCGTAAATTAAATACTCACCTAGTATAGCAATAAACAGAACAGAATAAGTCGCCAAAGTGGGGAGGTGATTCTATAAATACTTTGTAACAACAAGGTCTTAGACACATTGTGCATACATACCGAGTTAAACTAGTGTTGGCAAGGACATGGATCATATATCCCTGCACTATACCACTTTCTCCAGATTTCAGATATGGATCTCTTCCTCGTAAACATTCAATATGGAGTGCGACTCCACATTCATTGCATGTATATAACCCATTCTTTGGGTTTATATTTTTCTCGCATATTTCACACCAATAAACCTCATCATCATTTACACCTTCTTCGTAAGAAAAAGTGAGCAAATGTTCATCATGTTCGTACTTCACCTTATGTGGAAGAGTGGCGCAGCCAAAACACAAAACAAAATTGCATCCAACACAATTCAAAGGTTGTTTCTTCTCTGATTTACAAATGGAGCAGACTAACCATGTGTCTTCACCACATGTCACGAACAACGAATGTGGATGAGAATGATAATCAAACGGCTCACTTATAGAAGCACAAAGTGTGTCTAACTTAAAACCACAACTATTGACATAACAAACGTATATGAAACCGCACAAGTAACGATCACATTTCTTACATAGGAACCAACGTTTTTTCTTCAAACTGGGGACTTCTAGAAATAGTAGATGAGCATGTAACATGAATTGTTTCGCATAGGGATTATATGCACATGATTCATGTAAAATGAAATCACATTGCATGCATTGATACACATTACTATCACCAATAAAAGGAAGCATGCACATTTGACAATGCTTGTTTTCATCTCCCACTCTTTGGATCTGTTTTTCAAGTCTCATTTGATGACGCTGATCACTGAAATATCGTATAATCCCATCACCTTCCTCCTCAAACATGTTAATCGCAAATGTTTCTTCAGACTCTCCTTCAAGCTCTTTCCCATCACATACATCACTTCGCAGAGCACATCTAGTATGCATTGCATAAGAGCATCCCTTTATGCATGAGTATTTCCCGTAATTTCCGTTTATCTTTGCTTGACAAACTTTACAATTAGTCCACTCCTTGTAAGGTATATGAGGAGTAAAAACGAGACGATGATTGTGACGAGATACTTTTATGGCATATGGTAAGTCGACACACCGTTTATGGATAATGAAATCGCATTGGAGACATACATATAAGTAATCGATATAACCCTCCAACGCACAAACATCGCAAACCAGAGTGGATTTTCTAGGAAAGTAATGGAGGGTATGCTCATGCCTTTCCGGATTTTCTATAGTAAAAGGTGTTGGGTTTATCGCACAAATAGGGTGGATTGTAAAATCACAAATAAAGCAAGAGTAAAATAGATATCCAAGCAACTTTTTGCAAGAAAAGCAATAGTTTCGACGAATTCTGTAAGTGTAGGAAAACCACACAAGTTGGAGAGGATGTTTTGGATGATCAAAGGATTGGAAGATAGAAGGAGACTCAACACATACCTTGTGGTAGTTCTCTTTGCACTGGGGGCAGTAGTAATATGTTTTTCTAGGTATATCTATATCACAAACATAACAAGAACGAAAGATGCGTACATCACCTTCTTCTCTTTTGCGACAAAGTAAGGAATGAAGATGATTGGACTTTTCCTTTTCAGCATCAGAAATGCAATAGGAACTGCTGATTACGTGATGGATTCTCCCATTAACAGTTATTACTTTGCCATCTTTATCTTTTTCATATCGTTCTTTTGGGCATAAAAGATGAGAGGAAGGAACGTTGGAAAGAGGATCCATGGATAATTTAAAGCTTAAGGTTTTATTTTTTCCAAAAGTAAAGTTTTGGTTGTGACGAAAATCGATTAGCCAAGATATATATAGTGGCCAATAATAGATTAATATCAAACTTTCTCACGCAAAAGAAGAATATGATTCTTTTTGAAGTGTTTAGTTTTAAGTTTTGATTGTTCTTTTCCCATTTTGAAAGCTCAAGTGTTAAGGGAAACAAAACATTCTACAGTAATATTATTTTCTTAACTAATTGGTAACTAATTTTCCCTCTCTTATGTTCTGTTATAGTACAGTCAATTGTAGTAACATTTTTTCATAGATTCATGATCTTCTAAAGTGAAACGTTTGTTAAAAATGAGAAGCGGCGGTAAATGATGAAATGATTTGGCATCTATCTAACGGTATCTCATTTCACCTTAATTTTGACCCAAAAAAGGAAAGAGTACCAAACAGAACACTAATGTCAGACGCAAAGGATCTGTGGAAGATTCATGAGTTCTTTCTAGCGGTTTGTTTCTCTAAGTTTGATGCAATAAACTCGGTTTCCGAGATGCTTCACCTCGAGGCCAGCTTCTTCGCAACCAGTAAAGAATAAAGACTCATCTTCTTTCCCGATTCTTCGTCTCCAACTCATTAAGAACACCGGCCGAGGCAGTTCCGTGTCTGCTCCAATAACGGGTAATGTTAAGACTTCTTTTGGTGTGAGTAGTGATGACAAAAATAATAAGAACTTTGAAAATGATACTAACCATTTAGTTTGCATTCTAGTGGACTAACGACATTGGTGTCTTTTGATTTGTAGGTTTTGAGAAGAAAAGCAAGAGACTTGATCAAGTTCGGATACTGTTTCACATCTGCAAAAACCGAAAAAAGGAGAGGGGAGACAAATTAAATAAAATCATCGAAATTGTAGATGTGGGAGAGATAAACCGAATGGGAAAGAAAAGGGTATTTTACATAGAAGGATATCACTGGCTATGATCAAATCCCAATCTGGTTCTGAGATTAGAAATTCATCTCCCCATGTATCTGTCATACATAATTAGACAAGAATGTAAAAAGAAGTAAAACATAATCAACCAGAAACGCCATTTCGTAGATAAGAATGTGATTCAACCAGAGAACTCACGCTTGACATGCGGCAAAGAAGGGGTAATCTTGTTTGCAATACAGTTGTGAGCAATATTGTCTTCAATCTCCTGATCATCGTAGTCCGAAGTAGTTATGTCCAGATTAAACTCTTTCTTAAGAAATATAGCTAGAGCACCCGTGCCACTGCCCATTCGATTTGAAGACAAAAAAGAACCTGATCAGTGTCAAAAACAGTGGACTGACAAAGGAATATAAGCAGTTGCAAGTAAAGACACAAATCAAATCAGCAGAAAATACACAACAATGGAATTGAAAAAGAGAAGGAAGTACCTTCCTATCTCGAGACAACGCCTCCTTTCGATCAAGTGTCGATGCTGCACTAACCAATCTGCAAAGGCGAACGTACCTGGCCAGAGCAAGTTTGCATTCAGCTGGTGGAAACCAAATTCCCGGATATGTAATTCCTGTTCAATATATTCAAACAAGAAAAGAATCACAATCACATTTACTATCTTCCAAGTAGTTTCAGAGATTCAATAAAAAAAAGAAAAAAGAATCACAATCAGCAAAAGAAAGAATTGTACTCAGAAACCATTCAAAAGACTGTTCCATGAAAACGAATTCATGGATCCGTTTCGTCACAATTTTAGCAAGAAAACATGATTCCACAGCTCAAAGTAATCTAAGATCTAAACCACCACGAAATCAATTCAAAATCCCTGAAATCAGAAGCTCAAGTTTCACTACTCAACGGAGAACATAAAACTAAATCGGGAATCGAAATTACTACAAGGAAACGATTTAGGGAGCGAAGAAATTACAAATCCAGGAAACTGGTGATTCCTCTCAACGAAGCTCTGGGTCGTCTCCGTCGTTTCTCCATCTGAGAGAAAATAACTAAAAGTTACTTAGCTATGTGTGTTCTTTCTTCGATCAAGGTAGAAATTGAAAAGTGGAGAGATATAACTTACCGGAGGAATCATCGTCGGCGGCGAAGAGGGAAGACGGCGAGAAGAGAGCTATGTCCATGGCAGTCGAAAAGAGAGCTAACGTCTCTCACTCGTTTTGTTCGAACGGGGGCTTATGAGTTTTCCAATCTATGGACCTTCTGGTCGTCCCAGAGTGTTTGGAAAGATACCGTATTACTAACCGGGCCAAATACAAAAATTAAATCCGGTTTACATTTTTAATCATAATTATAAATCAGATTTTATATGCTTTTCTCTAAATCCGAAGTTACGAACCAAAATGGCCAAACC